TACATTAATGATATTGTTCCAGCCTGAATTCATAATCATTTTCCCATTTTACTTGCTAGATGCAAGGTACTCATCATGATGTATGAATGTTAATGATACAGTGGCCATATTATGTTTCAAAATAAAGAATGTTAGACTGACTACTGCCAAGACAAAAACGTTGATGATAACCCACACACAGTAAAACCAAAGTGGTAAGATGAGGTCACAACAGTACAAAAAGAAAAAAGATCAGTTAATGCCTTACAATAAAACAATGCCCCTCCTTTAAATATTTGGCCATTTATTTCTATCATTATCCCTGAAGGTATACCTAAATACAGTGTTAATAACTGCCTAATTGCATGATTCTGATTATTATTCTACTCCAGAAAAGAGACAATTAATTATCCTTACATTCAAAATGTTCCAGGGGAAGTATTTCCACAGATTTTGTGTAAGACAGAGATTTGGAACCAGAAGAACATTGCCCAGCTGTAAATGTAGTCAAATTAATGTCTACTGCACACTTAAGAATGGAGATGATACTGATCTGAAGTTTATTAAAACTCACCTAAAATTGCTAAACATTTTAAGAAACCTGTTAGCCTCCCAGATGACTATTTGCTATCTAAGTTGGATTTTCTTATTGGCCTTATTGTGGAGGAAATCAAGGGGCAGGACATGTCCAGTTTTAAATACCGCAAATGCCACTCAAGAGGAATTAAATCCCGAGATAGTGAAAGATGCATGACTGGCTCTGGAAGAAGAAACGTAGTCTTCATCTAAAGCTCAAGGTTCTCCCTTTGGTATCCTCAGTTTAAGGAAAACAGATTCTATACAGTACATGTTCAATCTGACAAGTAGCCTAATTTACCAAAATACATTTCTAAATGATATTCTCTTTCCTTCCTTGAAAGCAAATTCCACAGAATATCTAAAGAGTAGCATTTTTGCCCTTATGGCCAGAGACAGATGGAGAACACCGCCCTCAATGTCCTATGCTGATCTTTTTATGATGCGATTAAGACGAAAGCACACAGCCAAATTACTGACAACTTCATGGATTGAAAAGTGGCAGAATTTTTACTAGCAGATGTCTTCTCTCATATTAGTGATCAAGTGGCCATTTCTATTTTGCTGTCTTTTAAAATCAGAACAATTTAAAATATGTAGCAATCAAACCTTCAAGATCTTTAGTTGGGTTGTAGTCTGGGGCTAGTTTTACACAGCATTTAGTCACATTAATGTAGTCCTCGATGGACGACCACAACGGAGCCCAAAATTTCTGTTGTTAAGCGAGACAATTGTTAAGTGAGTTTTATTCCATTTTACAACCTTTCTTGCCTCACTTGTTAAGTGAATCACTGCAGTTGCTAAATTAGTAACATGATTGTTAAGTGAATGTGGCTTCCCCATTGACTCAACTTGTCAGAAGACCGCAAAAGGTGATCACATGACCTTGGGATACGGCAACCATCATAAATATGAAGAAGTTGCCAAGCATCTGAATTTTGATCACATGATTATGGGGATGTTGGAGGCTGTAACTGTGAAAAATGGTCGTAAGTCACTTTTTTCAGTGCCGTTGTAACTTTGAATGGTCATTAAATGAACTGTTGTAAGTCGAGGAGTAGCTGTAGTGGAACTTTGGACAAAATGTAAGTTTGCTAAAATTTTATTTCTCTCTCTCTCTCTCTCTCTCTCTCTCTCTCTCTCTCTCTCATTCTCTGCATTATGCATTTATTGTTGACATGTAATGTCAACAATAAACTGTACTTACCTACGTACTTAATCTATAACACGGAGTCCACAAGTCCAGCCAGGTAATCCAAAAAGACACCATGGGGAATGGCAATGAATTCTATTCAGTAGAAGTGCTTCATTCACACCCTCCACTAAGGCAATACATTTCAGTGCTAATGTTTTTGCCAAAGCTCCTGTTCAAATGGACTAGCATCATGAAAATGTTTCTGAAGTTATGATGATGCTATTTTCTTGATCACCTTTCCCAGAAGAGCAATATTTGCGACAGCCGATAACTGGACTCGGGCAGCATATAAATGTTACAAATAAACAAACACATAAACAGTGGCTTCAGGAAATATTTTGTTATTAAATGTTCTACTTTGTAGAATATCTCTAGTAAGATTGTTTCTACTCATATCGTAAAATTATTATTTTTTAAATCTCCTAATGAAAAGTAATTTTAATCAGGGCATCTTGCATCCTGTCCTTTATATTTTATAATCTAATTCTCATTATCTCAAAACTCAATTATACACCTATCTGATCAAACACAGTGGGAATATTTTCAATCCAGGAATAGATTGAAAATTTGTGTATATCTACCTACATGGATCCAAAAGCAAAAACTGCATGCATTTAATATTTCTGGCAAAATAATATAATGCAAGCACAAGAAGGTTAAATTGCTCATGATACTAATTCTTTCATCTGATTCCTGAGGTATTTTTTAAACTACAATTTGCAAGTATTAAATTTAAGAAAAGAATGGTGTTTGAAAGTTATGGAGCAAAAGGTAGAATTAAAGAATGGCTTGCTTTCCATTTGTTTTTTTTTAAAAAGTTATTTATTGATTTGTTTTAGTGTTTGAGAAAGTGACATATTACTGGTTAATTTAGTGAAAGGGATTAGCTCTTAAAAGAAAACGCCACCACTGCTTGAAGAACAAGAGTAAAGTGGACTCAAATCATTTAACAGCCTTTCTTATGTAAAATGTTTTCAAACAGCTAACATAGGGCCTGATTTTATTAAGAGTGCTTTGGAATAGATAGAAGAAGATTTTTTTATTACAGTCACAGACCAGAATTACAGATTAAAAAATAAAAAAAAGAGGGCTTTACGGTTGGGATACCTAGAAAATCTTGTCATTTATTTCACTGCATTCTACTTAATGCTTTTAAATCAGCAGTTTTTCAGTCAATTACAATTATCTTTTAATATTTCTATTTTTATATTTTCAATTTAATTTTTCAAAACACATTTCATTCCTCCCTTCAAAAGATATAATTAAAATTTAACTCCATTTCCTTTAGATTTGATTACTGTAATTTTCTGGTCTACCTACTTTATTTAAAGTCAGTTTGAACACTATTTATAACATATGTTTAAATATCATTTCAAGTAGCCCTGAGTCCGAAAGGAGAAGGGCGGGATATAAATTAAATTAATAAAATTAATAAATAAATATTAATTTCAAATATACAAATATTCCTAGTATTTGGAATTTTTTTTTAATGCTCTTCAATGACCGTAAAACCCTGACAACCACTGGAGAGCAGTTGGATAATTTTTTTGTTTCTCTTTACTGACATCTCATGATCAAATAGGTTTTTGCAGCCCAGCTCAGATAGCCCTTCCATAGGAATCATTTTATTTAATGATTGTATTAAAGTATTTTTTTTTCATTACTTTTCCTTACACAAATTTTCTCCTTAGTTTTACAGCTTTTTTCCTACAAACGATCGTATGGCTCTGAAGTGTTTTGTCCGATTACTAATTCAGAACTACTACCTTATTCCGACTTTTAAAGCAAATACTTTAAAAAGTTATTTACTTATTCAACCACTTATTACTTTTTTCTTCTTTCCCTTTCCCTTTTTTGATTAGATTATAACAATTTAATTTTATACATGTTATAAACAGTAAAAATATGTTTAACTTATATTTTTACTTTGATTGGTCATTCTGTGATGTAACTTGTTCTGGAAATCTAATTGAAGAACAGTATCAAAACCTCAACAGACTAATATATTTGCTTTATGCTCCTTTTATGTCCACTATCAGTAAACACAATTAAAATTCAGAGTGATCCCGCGATTATAGATATGACAAACATTGAGATGCAATTAAAGCTTCTATCAAAGTATTAGAGGGTCCATAAAAATTTGATTGCAGCAATTACAAATCATATTTCTATTAATAATAAAGGTATGCAATTTGATTCAATGATTCATTTATATATGCTTTATACTAATAAATGATGCCTCATCATTTATTAATATTGGTTATAGCATGTGGAATAAATTTTATTTCAAACCCTTGGCTTCTAACTATATGTAAATGAAAACTATTCCCATTGCTTTAAATAAACCTTAAAACATAAGTTTTATTAGTGAATATTAAACCTGCATTTCAGTTCAAGGCAAAATGAAATATTACATACTTCAGAATAGTCCCTAGACTAGTTATGAATAAACAAAAATGTATGAAATGTTTAAAAATGTGCTAAATTAATTAATGAGAGAAAACATAAATTTCAGTCAACTCAAGTCATTACAAAAGCCCTCAGAATCAATGTTCTAATCCTGTTGTCAGCTGAAGCAACACATTTTTTAGTAATGTAATCTAGCATACCTCTGAATAAGATTTGTATTCCTGCTGCTTTGAAAGCATTAATTTTAAGATTCTACCAGTGTTGGCAACAAGATTTACAAGACTGTAAATGTAATTAGAATATGTGTAGCTCTTATATAATCCAGCATGAATAGCTTTATCTGGCAATACATTGGCCCTTATAGAATACAGGTAGTCTTTGACTTACAACCACAATTGAGCCAAACATTTTTTGTTGCTAAGCAACACAATTGTTAAGTGAGTTTGTCCCATTTCATGATCTTTCTTGCCACAGTTGTTAAGTAAATCTGGCTTCTCCATTGATTTTGTGATCACGTGACCCCAGGACAGTGCAACAGTCATAAGTACATGCCAGTTGCCAAGTGGCTGAATTTTGGTCAATGACCATGGAAATGCTGCAATGGTCGTATGTGTGAAAACCAGTCATGAGTCACTCTTTTAAGTGCTGTTGTAATGATCACTAGGAGAAATGGTTGTAAGTCAAGGACTACCTGTGTAGAATGCCTAACTGATAAGCAACTGATAACAGGGTATGTTTTATTAAATGTATTGGTAGCTCAGAAGGAAATGCACATGAGAAACAGGATTGAAAAGGGTGAAAAGAGAAGAAAGAAATACATACTATTAAAATATTATTTAAAATACTGTTTAGGATCAGATTGTGCATGCATTACAATCCTATTCTCTTACCTTGTTTCTTTTGAAGTATGCTCTCCGGCAAGCTGCAAAACATTTTTCACTGCAGAAGCATTTCACTTCGCTCCCCATACTCAGAGAATAGCGTTTGAGTCCCACTTTCTGGCACCAGGCACACATGATTTGTACATTTGATACATCATCTTCTGCAACAAAAGGACAAGGACGGTATTTATATACCAAAGGAAGCATTGTGTCAAACATCCATTATACCTTTTGGATTTTCTGCTAATTTCTAAAGCAGATGACCAGGAATCCCTTCTTGTTTAACTGAATGGAAAGTACAGCTATTTTATAAATAATAGAGCATGTTGCAACTTTAAGAGCTTTTAGCATTTTGGGAAAGCCTTGGACTTTTTATATTTATTCCCATGCCTCTTTAACTATTATAGTTCCAGACAGTAACATCAGCATTATCTGCTTATAATGATTATAAACTCATTTCCATTTTATCAGTTTTGTTAGACTGAACATTTATAGCGAAAGTAGTGAAACTGCATTAGTAAATGCCATCCTATTTGCATGCAGTGAAGGGAAGCTAAATTATTACTTAGGGACTTTCGGTTTTGCCTGGTAGCGCACGGTCGCAGAATTGCAAAAACTCTGCTTCCCGCGGCTCTTTTCACTCTGCCAGGGGACCTTAAATGAGTCTAAAGCCGCCCCAAAGAGGCGGTGAAGAGAGAGGGGCACCCCAGCGATTCGGGAATGATGGTGGTTGTTCCGTTCGATCGGGAAATTCCCTCTAACCCGACAGGAGAAAGGCTGGTCCTACCTCGGTAACCAGCCCAAGCTACTTGCAGCCGAAGTCCACAAGTACTCACTAGAACATCGGTGAACAGCGTGCTGAAACTGGATGAGAAATTTGATCTTCTCTCTCCTACTCTATATCCTGAACTTTTGGAAAAGATACCCCAAGAAGCAAAAAACCCTCCGAAAATGAAAAGAGAGGGAGCTTTGCTCCACCCTCCCATGGAAGGAAGCAGAGAATTAAACTATTAAGGGGGACAAAAACATACTTTTGCTGACATCTAGTGGCGGAAGAGAATATATAACTTTAGCTGCTTTGTTATAAGTATTGGCAGGATGCCCAGAATCAGATAACCTACTTCTTTGATCTTTAAAAAGAGCTAAACAAAACATTCTGGGCCAGCCACAATAAGCAAAGATTATAATTGAAAAAATATAAACTGACCTTCCTGGATGATAAACACCTATTGACTGTGACCTTAAAACTATTTTCAGAGAAAGAAAAAAAATTGAATTCTAGCTATTATGGAATTTCAAGAGCTTGCAAAAAGAACTTGTCAAGAAAAACCAAATACTTTCCAGGAGGAAATGCTCACTATGTTGCAACTAATCCAAACAACAATGGATCTAAACCACAATGAGATTAAAAACAAATTTGATGACATAAATGAACGTATCTTTACGTTAATTTCACAACATAAGAATTTTCAGAAAATGAAAGAATCTACCAATGGAAGGAATTGTGATTTAACACAAATGGAGGAAAACATATAAGACATGACTGAAGCACCGGAACTGGAAGAGATAGTCCAGACCCCAGAATCACAAAACAAAGCTGAAGATAAGAAGAAAAGTCTGACAAAATGGATTACAGAGACCAAAAAAATCTACGACTTGACAAAAAAAAAAGAAAGAAATCAACATCTTAACTGATTTATCTCTCCCATTCTTAACAACATCCACAAGAAAATGGAAAGACTTTTTAACTAAGTGGAATAGATGGATGAGAAAAGCTGTTTGGTGAAAGAAAAAAATTAAAATCAGATTCAAGGGATTAGAAGATTGGACCTATCAGAAGCAATTTTTAAAGATTAAGCATTTGTTTTAATATGGTTAAAATATAACATGGATTACTTAATTAATAAATATCGAATGGAATAGAGTTAAAAAATGAAAAAAAATGGGGGATATAAATGAATTCTAGTTTGAGAGAGATATATTTTTCTTTTTCTTCTTTCTTATTTTGAGTCGTATTGTATTTTTTTATGATATGAGAAATGTAATTGTTGGGAGGATTCCTGTGAGGGAAACAGCTTAGATATTGAACCCTAAATCAACTTTGAGAAAATCTTAACAGATAAAAATGATTTCAATTTTGTGGGGAAAAAGTCTAAATGAGAATGTTGAAAACAGGACATATAACGCAACCAAGAGGACTAACTAGAAAACAAGTTCTATATTGATGCTATTACTAATTGGATAAATGTTAGAAAAATGTTTATATTTAACCTCTTTGTTACTAAAATACTAAGAACTGTATTAACCTAACATTTGCAAAAGAGAACAATATGGAAAGAAGAGAAAATCAAGGAAAGCTGTTATGTAGAGTACGATATGATAGAAATTGACTATTATTGATTGTTGTGAAATGTGAACCCAGACAACATGCTGTTTACAAAGCACCAGGTTGTTAGTTTTAAAAAAATCAATAATATATATATTAATAAATAAATAAATAAATAATTACTTAGGAATTTTAGGCTAACTAGACTCTCTGAAGAAATGAACACCCATTATTTTATGACAGGGGTCTCACTCACAGCTCACAAGCGGTATTTGGATGATTTGCTCCTTAGTGACAAATAGAGGAGGCAAGCAATGGCCCAAAGTAGGGCAACAGCTTCAGTGGTGGAATTCAGCCGGTTCGCACCACTTCGGCAGAACCAGTAGCTAATTCTTTGTTGCCCAGGCCCAGAATGGGCTCAGGAAGTGGCATCCACACAGAGAACCGGTTGTTCACGTATCTGAATCCCATATTTGCTCATCTCCTAACTCTGCATCAAGGTGTCATCACAGCTCAGGCCAGGGCCAATCAGGTTTCCACTAGCAGAGACCAAGTCAGGAGTGCTTCCCTGTCCCTACTGCTTGGCAGGGTCACCATTCTGTCCTTGTGCTGGGTTGCCTGTTCTCCTAATTCAAGTTTAGCAGGGTGAGCTGAAAGATGCTGATGCTGCTTCTAACTTCTCATGTTGGAGGAAAAAAGTAGCATAAGGAAGAAAAAGAGATCACCACTTGCCTGTCCCCACATGCTCTGCCACTTGTTACTGACCTGAAGAAGCTCTGTGTTTTCCTCACAGCTCTCCATGTAACACTCTTCCTTACTCTAGCACAGGCTGGCAATGATCCAGCCCCCTCTAGACACTAAGTTAAGACCCGATTTGCAATAGACCTACTATGTAGATCAGAGTTCCCCAACCTTTCCAGCTTTGCAGACCGGCAGAGGAGGGTGTAGGGAGAGGGGATGGGTCTGTGTGAGTAGCGGACACATACCTGTAGCTCCATCTGCATGAGCGGCGAGCACACGTGCATGCTGCTCACACAAGTGGAGTATGTATGCATGCACTCAGATGCTGCTCATGCAAGTGGGGATGTGCGTGTGCATACTCAATTGCCACTTCCGCAACCTGGTTCCAAACAGCTCAAGGCCCAGTAGTGGGCCGTGCCCCAGGGGTTGGGGACCCCTGATGTAGATAATGCCTAAACTCTAAAATAGTTTCATTCGCAACTATAAAATACCAAATGGTAATTGCTTTTTTCCTAATGTATTTATTTAATCAATTTAAATCTGAGATAGACAGCCACATAAATTGAAAGGATGGATGGATGGATGGATGGATGGATGGATGGATGGATGGATGGATGGATGGATGGATGGATGGATAGATAGATAGATAGATAGATAGATAGATAGATAGATAGATAGATAGATAGATAGATAGATAGATAGATAGATAGATAGATAGATAGATAATCTCACTTGGTTTCCTTCCAAATAATACAATAATAAAATATTTTAAAATATGAATTATAAAATATTCAGGTTTTCTACTTCTATTTGATATTTTCCATTCAACTATATTTCTGTTTTTGCCCTTCCTGTCTGTCTCTTTGTACAATTAATACAGACCTTTTTTAATGCCTCAGTGGGCTGGATACTCCCATGATATTTTTAGTTCTAATAACTAAATAATAATCTTAAAGAAATTAAAACAAATAAAAGAAAAGGGGAAAAACGAAAAATCTGGCTATACTGATGGAGTGCTGGTATATGGATTATTGTTGTTAGTGAGTGATCTTTGAAAGAAGGCAGATTCAGAACTGGGGATGAGGTATCTCATCCCATAGTAATTAATATCAAATACTCTTAGCTCTGGCTAAGTATAGTATTGGTATAAACTAGAATCTGACATTCTTTTCTTTTATCCCCAGCTATTAATTTCTGATCCTTACTATTCCTTATTTTTGTAGTCTGCTTTGCATAAGATTGCTTACTTCAAAATAGAATAGCAATAGGGTAGGCATGAAGATGAAGTATGTATGGAGTAAAAAGAAATCTAAATTACTCAGTACATATATTTAATTATGAGAAAAATAGTGAAATAAAAGAATGAGACATGGTGTCATGACACAAATTATTCTTCAAAATAATTAAAATCACCACTGAAATTTTGCAAGGAAAAACTTGCAAAATACTTATTAGGTAATTTTTCAAATTGCTAAATTATGCTTCTGTCAAACCACTCCAGACAATTTGGCCTACTACCGTAACATGAGCTCTATTTCAATATAACACACAGTTGAATTGCAATAGCTAGCAATTCTTAACTGTGGATTTATTGGTGCTCTCTGGGCTTGGCTGTTTGCTTGCAGGCATTTCATTACCCAACTAGGTAACATCATCACTGCTTATAACTGTCTGCCTTGTGTTTTCTTGGATCTTGTTCTTTACTGCCCATAGATATTCAAGTGGTCATAATGGCCACTGGCCTAGAATGCATCTTATAGTAATTTGTTGCTGAATGTTTCCATTAGCAAAAACACAATTCATATACTGATACTAAAACATAGGATCACAGACACAATAGATAGACAAAATAAAAAACTGTTTGGAATCAAATGATATCAGTGAAAGATAAAGAGCATAAAAATGTTCATGGTAAATTATTATATTTATTATAGATAAGAGAAGGAGAAAATCTAAAAGGGATTGCCTTCATAATAATTAATTAATCCTGTCAAGGATTATCACCGGTAACTAGGCAAGCATTAGAATATATTAGCAGGCTTAAGAAAAGCCCAAAGTTTTCAGAAATAATAATTAAAAATCTTGGTATGCAAT